GCCTCGTCCTCTCTGACTACCTTAAACGCACCTCATCCTTCTTCCCTCCCTTGGACACCGCCGAGTCCTGTTGGCAAACGTACCAATCCCTCCACCCCATCTTCGACATGCGTTCCTCCTGCGGTTTCCAAACCGCTTGGATCTCTCAAGGTTGCTTGAACTTAACCACCAAATCCAGCTTCGAAGCTCTGATCCCCAACTCCACCTTATCCGACGTCGTCTCGAATTGTAACCAGTCATTGCAGGGTTCGGCTTGTGCTTCCTGTACTCGAAGCTTGGCCAATGTGCAAGCTCTGTACTTGGCAGATAATTCAACCGCGAACGTGTCTGACTGCACTGCATACCCTTCTATTTACGCTGCTGCTTTTGCTAATTACCCGGACCAACTGATGTAGACACCGCCTCTTGTTTGTTCTCGATTGGGCCTGGCAATAATAGTAATCGTGGGAGTAGCAGAATAGGTTTGATTTTGGGTGTTTTGATTGGTGTCGCTGTTGGTTTAGCTCTTTTGATTGGTGGGTCTTGGTTTGCTTATAGAAAGTACCAAGTTTCTTCCAAGAGGAAGAAAGGGAGAGATAGAATCAGGAGCCTCGAGCTGGGTAGCTTGGGTGGTTCTGGATTGGGTTCCATCACTGAAAGCACCAATTTGCTTCACTTTACTTTCGATGAAATCAAGGAAGCTACTAGGAATTTCTCGAGAGACAACATCATTGGGAGAGGAGGCTATGGGAATGTCTACAAAGGCTACTTATCCGATGGCTCCGAGGTTGCTTTAAAAAGGTTCAAGAACTGTTCTGCTGTCGGCGATGCCAATTTCACGCATGAAGTCGAGGTTATCGCCAGTGTTAGGCATGTGAATCTCGTGGCTTTGAGAGGATATTGTACGGCCACCACCACCATGGAAGGTCACCAGAGGATAATCGTTTGTGATTTAATGAAAAATGGGAGTTTGTATGACCATTTGTTTGGTTCCATGGAAAGGAAACTCAGTTGGCCAATTCGACAAAAGATTGCGTTAGGAACAGCTAGGGGGCTGGCTTATTTGCATTACGGGGCCCAGCCTGCAATCATTCATAGGGATATCAAAGCTAGTAATATACTTTTGGATGACAAGTTCGAGGCCAAGGTAGCGGATTTCGGTCTCGCAAAGTTCACACCAGAGGGGATGACACATTTGAGCACTAGGGTAGCTGGAACAATGGGGTATGTTGCCCCTGAGTATGCGTTGTATGGTCAATTGACCGAGAGAAGCGATGTGTATAGCTTCGGCGTAGTGCTTCTTGAGCTGTTGAGTGGAAAGAAGGCGCTCGTAATGGATGATGATAACCAGCCTTCTTTGGTGGCAGATTGGGCATGGTCATTGGTGAAGGCCGAGAGAGCTTTGGATGTTATCGAAGATGGCATACCTGAGTTGGGGCCACCAGAGGTTCTCGAGAAGTACGTGTTGATCGCGGTCCTTTGCTCACATCCGGAGTTACAATGCCGGCCGACCATGGACCAGGTTGTAAAAATGTTGGAAACAGACATTTCGGTTCCCTCAATCCCTGAGCGGCCAATTCCCCTTGTAGCTCAAATCGATGACATCCAAAGATTGATAAGCAGTAATGGCTCGGGTCAGTTCTCTGGTTCAGGTTATCGGATGTTTACTTATGAAAGTAGTCATCACTCCGGCCATGAAGAGGAAGGTTTAAGTTCGAGCAATTGAATACAAAATCTTTTTCAAGCACAACATTAACATATTGGATCATTGAACTCTCCAGCGGTGGTTCCCTCATCCGTATGCTCACCTCGATTTTTAATTGCATATGTTGTTTGTAAATATACTCCAGTTTCAGAATCAAATTAATTTCATTTGAATTCAAAATGGGGCATACAGTTGCATGCCACATCTGTAAGTACAGTAACTTCTTTCTCTGGAACATCAAATTGATTTGTTCAACAAATGATGTTTCATTGTTTCTTTTTCTGAAAATTCCTCGTATATACATATATATGTCATGTTTTTTTTCCAACCTGTGGCATTGAGTTTTGGTCTCAAGAATACAAGGTTATTACAAGAATTTGAGTGCTGCTTGATTTGCAACTGTTTGCATTGTTCTGTTACATCTGCATAATTAATAGCTACTACATTAGAATATGTATGGCATGTTGTAGAACTGCTGTAACCAGTTCCGGTCTAAGCTTCGACAGATAATTTGCTGCATCTGCATTGTATGTCGTTATGGTAGTCGGACTCGGGTTTTGCCATCAGAACCGAGTATCTTAGTCGGACTCAGGTTTTGCTGTCATAAATGACCATGTGTCCAAAACGGATATATTTCGTTCTCTTAAATTTCATGTGTTAGGAGTGTCGTTGGGCAATTACATTCCCATATAGTACCCCTGATGAAGTATGCATCAAATGCGCCTTTTGGACACAGAATAGTTACCCGGAGCAGCGCAATGCTGCAGCTGATATGAACAAGGAAGCATCTTTGCGGTTGCAACAGCCGTAGTTTGAACTGAACATGGTTGACTGAATATGCATTTGATGAGGCAGATTCTCATAAGACGGCTTGAGGGTAGTTTTTCTTCTGTCTGAAGTTTCTTACCTTAGACTTGACCAACAATACTGTGAAGCAACTATGTTGAACGTGAATTCGAATTGTCTTAAAGTTGACTAGGAGAAGCAAAAAAACGGTGGCTGGTAATAATAATTTCTTGAAGACCTGACCTGAATTTATACCCGATAAGCTTAAACAATCAGGAAATTGAGTCCTTAAATAGACCAGCCGACTGTTCAAGTTTATTTATTTGAAAGGAAGGATTTTCAAAATTCCGAATTAAAAATGTAACTTCTAGTGTAGTGTTCAGTTTACAGTTTAGTCATTAGTGCTAAAAAAGGGGAAATCCTTCAATTTTGGACCCAGTCTTTTCTGTTTTACAGTCCAAGGTATTTTATCCTTCCTAAGCCCATCCCACGGATACAAGGCTCGTTGATCATCCTTTTTTATATATATGTTATAATAATTATTATTTTTATAAATAAAATGAATTTAATTAAATAATATTATATTATTTAAAATATGATATAATTCACTAATTAATATGATTATTTGAGTTTTTAAGATGACCACACTGTCATATATTATTTTAAATTAATACGATATTATTTAATTAAGTCCACTTTATAAAATTAATATTCTCTTCGTTCGAGTTCAAGTTCTTCTGTATGTATGCAGAAAATTTCTATTGAGAGACTCACCCACTAAAGTTAGATGTGCAATCCAGATCGATCCGGATTAATTAGGATGAAACCTTAGAAATCAGAAAGGTAACCAAAAACAAATTATCTCATGTTGATTTTTTACGAAATTTTGGAAAAAATATTATAAAGTTTATGGTGCAAAATAATTTACTCATTTAGAATTTACAGTTTTTTTAAACAAGCTAAGAAAAAAATAAAAAGAAACTATACCTTTTAAAAATTATTAAACTTTTTAAAATGTCACTTTAAATGAAACAATTTTAAAACATAGAAGTGTTAAATTTATTAAAAAAAGAAATAAAAGAATTCGCTGCGACAAAAAAACTATCATTTTGTTATGTCCTTTGTATTTATTTTCCAAGTATTGGGAGAAAAATGCACTCTACAGATTACACTATAATACAAAGACCTGTACTGTAATTTTACCGTTTGTTTGCACATTTATGGGAATTAATTTTGGGTCCTCCATTTCTGATCTATATAATCGCATGCTTTCAAAGAGACGAAATTACCAAATCAGAATATAAAAATCAATATTCTCCATCCACCCCCCATATCAAAGCTTGAAAATGTAACAAATATGAAATACCTATATATATTTATACCATTAGTTTCTTATCTTAGAAGAACATATCTCAAACATCAGGTGCACCTGTCACTGGTAATCCCAAAATTACGTGTCAACAATGATGTTTTTACCTAATTCATAGTGTTCTGATTGAACACAACTACTTCTAAACAAAGCATTTCTTATCTTCTTTAATTACTTTCATGGTCATCTCCTTAACTTTTTGTTTAATTAATTGTTTATTTTTTTCCTGATTGAAGATGAGTTTGTCTTTTTTTATAATTATTTATATTTGATTTATAGATTTAGATTAAATATTACGTAAATTTATTATACATTCGATCCTCTTAATTTAATTTTTTTCATTCATTAGGTGTGAATATTCGATCTAAATGGGTCGAGTTAAAAAATTCTAGACGATCAAATTTTGCTAAATTAAAATAGATGATGATCAAATTATGCTAAATTAAAGAATAAGTATTAAAGTCAGAATTAGAATCTTTCTTTGGATAAAATCTTCAAGGCAAAACACAGTAGAATTCGAACCACCGGTCATTTCATTAAAACTGGTAGCTCCTGAATTTTAAAAATGGCAACTGCTCAATCGTACAAAACAAAACCTCCATTATTGGAGAGAGAGAGGGTTTTATTGTAACAACGAAGTAAAAAGAGAAACAAACTACTTCAAGGCTGAAAGCATATCTGTCGCGGTAGGTCTAAGTGGTAATCAAAGAGACAAGTTGCAGAACATGCTAACCACAAAGACAGAGATTTGGAAAAGACCATATTGTCTATAGGATGAAACTGAGCTGCCATGGACCTCATATGGCGGCTACTCATTGTCAATAATCAGTAATTTTAATAGTAATAAGTGTTTCTCATCGAGTTTTTAGAAACGATTCTGTTGAGGAAAAAACGACCATTAATCTCGAATATAAATCGTAAAACGGATCTTGTCTGTTGTATATCTATGTTAAAATTCCATTTCATGCATACCAACATAGCTTCGTCCACTTGTATGTACATTTTAACGAGCAACGTCATGGAGCAGTGGCAGATCTATTCTGAAATCTGAATTTTTTTTTTAATAATTATCTATTTTATTAATTATTTTCATCTCGTAAAATTTTACGTTATTAATATACATGTAACTACATCCTCAAATATATTTTTGGATCTGCAATGTGACCGAGCCGCTGAAGGAAGAAAACAGCTAGCAACAGCATATTCTGGGATGTGGCTTTCAATACATTAAAGAAACAAACGTGGTAAATTTGGCAAGAACAGGGAATTCTTTCCAATTTCCCTTGTGAAAATTGAAAGGTTCGCTGTATTCCCATTTTTCCCCCCATTATCTTCTTCAACTTGGAACATATATTGCTTCAAGCTTCTTCTCTTTTCCATTTGCAGCAGTCTACACAAAAGTTAAATACAGAACTAAAGGAGACCATGGCCATCAAAGAGGATATTGAGAGAGGTAACCATGGTGATGGCGAAGAGGTGAGTCTACCTCTCTTGCAAGAAGATAACGATATGGCCGATAAGGAAGTCGAATATACGGATCAAACGAGCACCAACGCAAGTCTATGGAAGGTTTACTTCAGCACCTTTGTTGCAGTGTGTGGCTCGTTTGAGTTTGGATCCTGTGTAAGTCTCTTATAATGACCTCAACTTGCTTGTAATATTTATTCTACGAGTTATAATCTTAAAATTCAAGTCATTTCCAGGCAGGGTATTCGTCACCAACTCAGGCTGCCATCAGGAATGATCTTTCTCTGACTCTAGCAGAGGTATTCGAATTGAATATATCGATTTATATCGAACGTTATCGACATGTATTGTCCAGTAAATTCGAACATGTTCTTGATGCTTACAAGATTAGCCAAAGCTAAAGCTAGTATTTCTCATTGACACAATTGGTATGTTCATTTTTCACTAACAGAAGCAACTTCACACTGATGCAGTTGACCTTTGAATGTGCAGTACTCAGTGTTTGGTTCTATATTGACTTTTGGTGCAATGATTGGTGCAATCACAAGTGGAAAGATAGCTGATTTTGTCGGTCGGAAAGGGGTAAGTCGAGAAATCATAGATCAATATGCAAGCTAAAACTGCTATTTCGTCCAACACTTTCTGTATAGATAACCCTGAAGTAACATCAATTTCATTACTAAACATGTACATTGTGCAGGCAATGAGAACAGCAGCTGGATTTTGTCTTGGAGGGTGGCTTGCTATATATTTCGCTCAGGTTTTTAGTTATCCACCTTTAAATTTGCCATTGCTTAAGCTGCAGATTAACCAGAGACAATTATGCAGAACTGCGACTTAATAATCCTTTTTACTCTCTTGATTGAACACGAAAGGGAGCTTTGGTTTTGGACATTGGAAGACTGGCAACCGGATATGGAATGGGAGTCTTCTCATATGTAGTGAGTTCCTATCTCGTCAAGGATTTCACTTTCGAACTGCTTCTTCGATTCTACAATTACTTGTTCCTAACAACCATGATGCCTTTGTTGAATGTATGACAAGGTACCGGTATTTATAGCTGAAATCGCACCTAAAAATCTTCGAGGAGCTCTAACGACAGTAAATCAGGTAACCAAGTGCAGCACTTAGTATCATCATCACTTACTGGATTCATGAATGTAAATATCTGAACAATCATCAGTTTCCTGAATGTGCAATAGAAATGCGTAAAGATATTAAAAGCAACGAAATACATATGCACTCAGTTTTATCTGAATAATCTTATTCTACAGCTTATGATCTGCTCCGGAGTATCTGTTGCCTTCATAATAGGGACAGTTCTAAAATGGAGGACTTTAGCACTGACAGGTAAAAGTGCTAAGCTAACATTCTTATGCCAAAACCATGCTAAAGTTTGAATGTTCTTGGAAAGCTACAAAACACAAGCTGAGACTCACAAGTAGAGTGATTTGCAGGACTTATTCCTTGTGCAATTCTGCTCTTTGGACTCTTTTTCATTCCAGAGTCTCCCAGATGGCTGGTAAGAAATAGACACCGAAAATATGACGGAATTGGAATCCTTGGTTCTGTTAACCCTGAATTATAGTAACATTAAATGGGAGTTAGATTAAAACCTTAGATATTATGCAGGCAAAGATTGGAAGAGAAAAAGAATTCGAAGCTGCACTACAAGATCTTCGTGGGAAGGATGCCGATATTTCAAAGGAGGCCGCTGAGATTCTGGTTCTTAATCTAAACCTATCATCCTAACCAAGAGTGAAACTGAGATAGACTTGAGCATTATAGAGAAAATGTTTTTAACTTATTTTGTTGATTGACAGGACTATATAGAGACTCTTGAACGGCTTCCGAAAGCCAAAATGCTCGATTTGTTTCAGCGAAGATACTTACGCTCAGTCATTGTAACTATCACTCTTTCTAAACAATTAGCAATCACAACATTTGACTCTTATGTCTTCTTTAATGTTTCTTTACTACGTATTTATCTTGATCAGATAGGAGTTGGATTAATGGTCTTTCAACAATTCGGAGGGATCAATGGTATCTGCTTTTATACCAGCAATATTTTCGAGTCGGCAGGTAAAAAAACCTTTGAGTTGCTGCCCTACACATTTAAGCCTTATCTATTATTAACATTGCTGCTTTTGTACTTTAAATGTCTCAGGATCTTCTGCCACTGTTGGGACAATAACTTATGCTATTCTTCAGGTTTCATCTCTCCCTTCCCTTGAAAGCCATGCACTTCTTCCTAGCAAACAACTAACATAAAACAATCGTTTCTGCAGGTTGTCATCACCGGCCTTAACACAACCATGATCGATAGATCAGGAAGAAAGCCTCTATTACTGGTAAGTACAAGAACAATTTAACAGTCGTAAGGTCCTTAAATTGCTTAGCCAATTTGCTTTTGCTTTCATGGATGGAAGATGGATCTCAAATGTTTCTTTCATTTTAGGTTTCTTCAACAGGATTGGTTCTCGGCTGTATACTATCTGGGATTTCATTCTATCTTAAGGTTAAAATATCAAACTATTATCTGACTGTATATACTTCCCTCTGTTGTCATAATTACTAACATTTCGATTATCTTTGCCGATCAGGATCATAATTTAGCACTCAATGCAGTTCCTATTCTTGCTGTAACAGGCATACTGGTAACTTAATCGAATCATATGCTCATTCGATCTGTTCATTGTCAAACTATGGCTTACTATTTCTTCTATGTTATTTCTGACATGAATCTTAATTGACGTCAGGTATACATAAGTGCCTTTTCAGCTGGGATGGGTGCAGTTCCTTGGGTTATAATGTCTGAGGTAACCAAAAAAGAAATGTCTGCAAGATTTTAACATTATTCTAATCGACTTACTAATCCTTCAACTCTCTAACCATGGCATTTGGTTGCAGATATTCCCTATAAATATCAAAGGAGTGGCCGGAAGCCTCGTGACGCTGGTGAACTGGTTCGGTGCATGGGCAGTTTCTTACACTTTCAACTTCCTTATGAGCTGGAGCTCCTATGGTAAAATAGAATGAAAACTTTGCCAGTAAGAAGTAAAAAAAATTGTGTGAAATTACCGGTTACTCTTGTGGATTCTCGTTGTAGGTACCTTCATTCTTTATGCTGCAATCAATGCGGCTGCTATATTGTTCGTGGTCACATTGGTACCTGAAACAAAAGGGAAAACCTTGGAACAAATTCAAGCAGCCATTAATGCATAGGGAATCAAGAAAACGAAGCAGATTATTTCTCGAGAGATTAAGGATGCTCACTTGCTGTCTACTGGTGCTTTCAAAATCAAACAAAAATGGATGATATGTTTGGGGTAATAAAGTTATCTTTTTATAATGGGAATGAGATTTTATCAAAGAATGGAGGAGATATAAACACAAAGGCAGCATCTCTTTACACAAAAGAAAGCTACTGAGAAATATTTCAGATATATATCGAGCCTTGTTATATTTTTCCTATAAGATGAATTGCCAATGAGAAGTTATTTAACACTGAAAATGTTAAATTCTTCAGTATTTTCTTTGTACTCATTATTGGTGTTTGATTTTAATAGTATTATAATTTGGATTTTGAATTCTGAGTTACAACTTTACATATATACTATTCTAAGGTGTCAGAAAATTTCAATTTAGTCTTTGAATTCTTTGTTAAAAAATATGTTTGAAGTCTACGAGTTTAAAAATTAAGGAACACTTGATGGTGTAATGTAAAGCTAAACCATATATCATTTATATGGAAAAGAACAAACTATATTAGAGGGCTGTAAGCTATAAATTTTCTATTTAATTTGAGCTACTGGTATGAACTATTCAAAGGATCCTAAAACAAACAAAAAGACCCTTTTCAGCTATCCACCATCAACTCACTGGTCTTAGTCAAGCAAAAAGGTTCAGAGAGCCATAGCCCGTGGCTTAGCAAAACGTGCACATATGCGGCAATCGATCAGGCTCCTACAAGCGGGGCAGTCCTTCATCTGTTGTTTCTTGTGGAGCTCATTGCATTTGACGCATAGGACCTGATGAGAACATGGAAGGAATACCACTATCTTCTCTTCTGATAAGCACTCACGCTCGTGTTTCAAACTTCTTCTACCAGAATAATCCTTGATGTCAACCACCATTTTAGAGAAGCTTGGAACGTGATTCACCTCATTGACAGAAGAGCTCTGGCCATTTCCACCAATGCCTCCCCGAAGTGCAGCTATTTTTGATGAATCCAGCCTCGTCTCCAACTCAGATAACTTGGTCTCAAGTGTTTTTATCTCCTCCCCGTATTTCTGCATATCTTTTTCTGCTTTCAGTTTGATCTTATCTTCCTCCACTTTTGCTGCAGCTTCAAGACGATCTATTTACTTTTGTACGGAGGCAGCTTGTGCAAGGACTTTCTCCTTTGCCACCTTCTCCTCTTTCCGTGTAATCTGCAACTTTTAACCATCTCTCATGAGAAAAATACAACGTAAATAGAATTAATCTATATAAGGGTATAAACAGCTAAGGGCACTTATGCCTCTTCATGCATCAAGCTATAAATGAAGATGGAATGTTTAGAATGAGAAGTTGCCAAGAATAAGACATTTGACAATTAATGGTATCTGATTGTATGATTTGAACCCAATCTGCTGTTTAGCATGATCAATGATTGTCTATTGGCTTATAGACTAAAGATTGCTACACCATATTTTTGCAAATTCTTATGGTCTCTCAAAGAGTTTTATACTTTTTAGTGTTCTCTTAGAGGAATTTTATTCAATATTCTATATTCTCCTCAATCTTACCATTCTATAAACTTTCTAGTCTCTTTAGTCAAGACTAACAGCCATATGATGGCTTAATAAGGCAAGTGTAAACTATATATTTATTAAGGTTTATTTAGCAAGTTAACGAGTAATTTGTTTGAGAATCATACCTCTATTTGGCTGTAGATATTTTAGCCTTGCCTACTTTCCTTTGCAGCTCTGCTGCCTTCTGCTTCTCCAATGCAAGCTCCTCCTGAAGCAAGCTTCTCAGTCCTTCCCATGACTGAACATCCTTGAGTGCCTTCTGTTCTCTCTCTAATGCTTCTCGACAACTTGCAGCTGATGCTGTAGCCTGTGATTTAGCGGCCTCCATCTGCATCTTCAGCATGGAATGTTCCACCTCAAACTTCTGAACAGTAGAGTTAGCGTCCTCAACCTGATCAGTTGTGTTGTTCAAGGCAAACTCCATCTCAGACAACCGCTTCATGGTGTTCTCCTCCATGATTTGCTTTTCCCTTTTGAGATGCTCTGCTTCTTCCTTCACTTGCCTCAGTGATTTAAGTTCGGCTTGGTCCTTGCTAAGCCTGCGGCCAGCTTGCATGACCTTCTGATTGGTCCACTGAGTCCATCTATCTACTTCATTCTGCAGTTCCTCTAGCCTTGGAACAAACTTCAAACTTATATCATCCTTCTCATCTTGCGGGATGTATTTTCCTAGAGAATCATTGTACGGAATTCCAGCATAGTATTCAAAGGGCTTAGAAGACATAGAAGAGCTGCCTTCGGCCTTTGAAGCAGCTTTCTTTTCTACACCGTGTTCAGGTGTCTTAGAAGATTTTGAAGTTCCTCCTTCAGACTTTGAAACAGGTTCATTTTCCAAAGATAATGATGGCGCGCACCCGGTATTTGTGGTTGGAACTACAGATTTAGTACCCTTAGTCAGCAATGTTGAAGAGTCATCTGCCACAATTAAATCAGGTGAAAAATTAGTTGAAACATGATGACTTTCATCAGCTAAAGCTACAGCCTCCATAACTATTTTTGATGAAGGATTTTTCGTATGCACAGCTAGTAATTCAGATGGCGACTTCATTCTCTTTTCAACAACAACATTGCCAGAGGCAGCTAGTTTCGCAGCTCTAAAACCTTTTGCAATAAGCCGTCCTGTTAATTTCCATGTTGAAGGACTTTTGACGTAGTGCAGCTAGTTCCTTTTTGGGGGCCCCCTTTCTACAACTCAATGTTTTTTCCTTAGAGATCGATGTAATCAAGACATTATCTCTATAAGCACTTATAGAGGCCAAAAACTCTTTCTCTGGTGTTAGCCCTTCAGAAGCACGAAAACTTTTGGGTTTAGGTAAATTAGGGAAACTTCCAAATTTGAATGCTTCAGGCTGGTAATTCTAAGAGGATAATGATGATTTTGTAACACCGAGCTCATTCGAAACAGGAATAACGGTTTCAGGATTTTGAGTTTCAGAGGAGCTCTCACCTGAGACTTCCAAACAACCTAAATTTCTCAATATATCTCCTTCCACTTCACATGCCACCGAAATGTAAAGATCAAACATTAACAACCACCACATTGCTTCCACAATAGATAGACATGGTTGAACCTCTCTAAGCACGCTAATCATCTCCAGCATTGTATACACCACTAGCTGCTGAAAATCCTCAAACAAATAACTCGAAATATCACCTTCTATCCCTTCCTTCAAGGAAGCCAAAGCATCATTCACAACATTTGAGACAAGATTTTTACCCCCTTGATAGAGTAGGTGCCTTGAAATTGCCTTTTCCGTGACGTCCTCCTTAAACCCACACTCTACAATCTTTTTAATCGCATTTCGGAAAATCGTGTGCAAATTAGATAACAGTAACTCCTCGAGCTGACAAGCAATTGGATCATCCCAATCAGCAGGTACAAAATCTTCTCTAAGGGGTCCCATGGAGGATCCTACCTCCAATGGTCCAACTATAGGGCCTCGAAATATCTCCGGAGCTAATTCATAAGGAGGGAATTCACTCATAGACAAAGGAAGAATAACTGGACCCTGTAAAGAGGGATCGTCTAATTTTCTCTTGTTCTTACTACATTTGTCATGAGGTGTGATAGAACAAGTCCCTACTTTGCAAGCAACACCACCGTCACTATCATTCTTTTCATTCATCTTATGAACAACAATAAGAAACAACCCAATGTCCTCTCAAGTTGACTCTATCTCAACAAAACCTGTATGAACATAAGAAAATTCAATCAAAATTTGTACTTGAAAAAGGAAGAAGATGCTGCTAGTGATAATGGAAATGAAAATCAAACTGATAACACAGTTTAACTCCAATGCAAATTACATCATACAATACTCCGATGAACAGCCTTTAACAAATACGCTAATGAACAACCATTCAACAACAAGAAGTTAACTATACACACTACAATAGGATTCAAATAAAAATAAATAAACTTTTATCCTCATACTGAGAAAAACAAAACGGATGAAAGACATGATAAAAAAAATGCCCACTGAAAAGAGCTTGAATTAAAAAAAATAACTGAGAGAGAATCGGTCTCAAACAATTTTAAGCTATTTCTGTGCCCATGTTATATTAAAGGGAGAGTAAGGGAAGAAAAAAAGCATACTATGAGAGGATTTCGCTTGGACCGGATGAAATGGGACTTTTAGTGAGGTGGAAGCTGCAACTTTGGTCGTAGATCTAAGCTTTTCAGGGATTTTATTGAATACCCAATCTGGTAGCGTGAAAAGAGAAGGTCAATGAGAGTTTGGAGATGATATCTTTGGGGCAAAAATTGGATACCGGCGGCCGGCGACAGTAGACAATGAGAGAGTAGTGCGAGATGATTTAAGAGAAGCTGAAGAAAAATAATAAAGGGTAAACTACATTATTAGTCACCAATGTGTCACTTCTCTCCTATTTTGTGTTACCTAATTATTATTTTTCTTGACAAAAATGTTATTAATATTTTCGGCATAATCTCAAAAAATACTCTTAATTTTTGATTAAATAGTTTGTTAACTAATGATTTTTATTTATAGAAAGATTTTTTTTTAATTTTAAAATAAAATATTAAAACTAAAATACTCTAAAAGAAATAACAAAAATGACTATTTAATTAAATTTTAATAATATTTTTATCATTATATATTTTTATTTTAATTATCAACGGACAACAATTAAAATTTCTAAATCTGAAATAAACATTAACAGTCCCTTTAAAAATTAAACTCACAGTTAGTATAAATTATTTTTAAAAAATAAAAAAAAATCTAATTTCAAACTTTTTTCTAATATATTTTCTGACGTGGCGGGTAGTGATGATATGTCAAAAATAGTTTATGGCCCAATTGGAACACTCTTTGGGTTTTGGGCCCTTAGATCAGTTCATTTTTACTTTTTTTAATGGAGAAATAAAAGACCAATTCCAGGCTTCAGCCATAAAGTAAACAAGAGAAGATGGTCGGACCTTGCTTCGTTTCCTGCTTCCTTTTCTTAAACTTGGTTCAACTCTTTCAAACTCTCGAAGCTTCTCATTGCTCCATCAAAGGTAACCTTTTCCACCCAATTTGATATCTGAGTCTGTTTTAATGATTCGATCTTTAACCAATTTTCCCAGTTTTCATACTGGGTTGTCTTAGTTTGCACCATAGTGGAGATTGCAGCAGTTTGTTGGCCTTTTCTTGATCTATTTATTGGATATGGGGAGATTTATTTAAGAAGATTACCAGGAATTCTTCAGTTTTCTTTTCCGTGCTTTTCTTTAATGGTTGATTTCGTGTGAAATGATATTGTTTTTTTATACAGGGTTACCTCTGGGGAGGAACATTGCTGAACTTCCACAGGATAACTATGGAAGAGGATGTTTATCCCATATAACTGTTTCCGGTTCACTCTTGCATGGATTGAAAGAAGTAAGTTAATTGCTTACACTTTGGTTTTTGATGTTCTTTTAGGTTTATGATATCGCCTTTCATAAATTGGCTTAGTCATTTTTTAGAAATTTCAGAAATGGCTGTATGTTTTTTTTTTTTTCATGTAGTAGGCGAATAGAAGATGTTGAACTCCTTCTATGGTAGGATTATGGATGTGATAACTTTTCGGAATTCGGATGTTTTCTTAGGTTGAGGTTTGGCTTCAAACATTTGCACCGGGGTCACGTACACCAATCCATCGGCACTCGTGTGAAGAACTTTTTGTTGTTCTCAAGGGGAGTGGCACTCTATGTCTCGCCTCGAGTTCACATAAGTCCCCTTGAAAACCAGAGGAGCACTTTATATTTTCGAATAGCACATTTCATATCCCTGTCAATGATGTCCACCAGGTACAAGCATTCCCCCAATTATGAATGTGATGATATTAAGAAGCATAGAAATCTCAAAACATAGATTATTTTGTCTTGGGGTTAGCCTGTAATAAGATGATCCGATTATTTGACAGACACTTTGATGAATTTCGGTATTTCATAGACATTCCTTGATTTTCAATCGATCGTCATCTTTGTTGCATTGCAGGTCTGGAATACAAACGAACACGAGGATTTGCAGATGCTC